CTAGCAGTTCGAAAGCACCTTCGGGTGCAAGTAGATAAATAGGGACCGCTTACCAGCGGGAAGGTAAATGGCGTTCCGTGTGCTGCGCTGGCTCGCCAGATGCAGCTTGTCACGCTGGCCACGTGACCCGGAAGTGTCTGCGGACAGCGCTGGCTCCCGGCCTATAGAGTGAGATGAGCGCACAACCCTAGAGTCTGGCAAGACTGGCCCGAACGGGCAGGGGTACCTTTACCTTTATGTATGGTGATTGGGTCGTAGGAAAGTATCACATTTAACACCATCTTGTCTTGCCGCTAATGACCATGTGCACTGTTCTTAATTTTTAATTTCTTATAACTCATAAGTATTCAGCATCCATAAAATGCCATACATTTTAATTTTTATGCTGTCATTTTTATTTTCATTAACTATTTAGGAGTTCTTTACACATTCAGTAGAGAAGGGTGAAGGGGTGCAGGCAGAGGGGAGCCTTAAACGGCTCAGGACCGCAATACCTCATGGACCAACTCTCTCCATATGAACCTACCCTGACCCTGATAGCATCTCCTGAGGCCCCTCTTCGTGTGCCTCCTCCACATGAGGTCCGGAGGGTGGCAACATGAGAACGGGTCTTCTCTGTGGTGGCTCCCCATTTGTGGAATGTTCTCTCCAGGGAAGTTTGCCTGGCACCTTCATTATATATTTTTAGGCGAAAACGTTTCTCTTCCACCAGGCCTTCGGCTGATTAATATCCTACAGCCTTTTAAATGTGTCTGTGGAAGGGGGGTATTGTTTTGATGTTTTGTTTTAATTATTTGTTTTTATTTTGTGAACCTCCCTGAGATCTTATGATCAAGGCCGGTATATAAATCTTATTATAAAATCTTATTATAAATCTTATTATAAATCTAAAAAAGAAAAAAGGGTTGGTAGAGGAATTTTACAGTTTATCAAAATATGATGGCCTGCATCTCACTTTTGTACAAAAAAGCACGGCATAAACGTAGTAGTATACACAAGCAAACTATTAATAAATGCATGAAAACTACTTCAAGACAATGCGTCTGATAAAGCGTGTTCTCCCTAACAGAGAGCACGTGTTGCGGTTGGGGGAACAGGCCACCCTGTCATGACTAGGCAAATTTGGTGGAACCCAGCCTTTAAGTGGTTAATTGGGTTGCTGGGGAATTTTGATTGTTGCCAATTCAGAGGAGGGGTCAGAGGCTTTAAATATAGGGGCCAGACGATGGGACGTCCTCTTGGCCGTTTTGCACCGGATCACCCGCCCTCCCTCCCTTTAATAGGGTGGTTTTTTGCTTTTGACCTTGCTATGCCTGTCATGGGGTCGTTCGCCTTGGAGCGGGGGCCTGGTAGGAATTTTGCCATTTGGCTGATTGGCTGGTGCCATTTGGTTTTTGCCTACTGCGTAGCAAATCGTCACAACTTGTAAGGTTGGCGGTTAGGCATTGGTTAAATTGGTGCTTGGAGGGGTAAGTGCCTACCCCTCCAAATGATGTGGAAAGGGAATTCCGTTAAAGGAATCCAGGGGCTTGCCATTCTTTTCGTCCTTGTCCGTGGAGCCGGACTTGGGCCGTGCAAGCCCCACCGGAACATGAGGGTGAGAGGTGTGGGTCTGTGTCCCAGCTTCATTTCTCACCCAATACTTGTTTCCCACGCTGGCTTCCGGTGGTGTCCGGAAGGGCCAGCTCTGTCCTTGGGGGCAAGGACAGATAGTCATAACCAATGCCTAAGCAGCCACTCACATTTTTTGTATTTGAATAAAGTTGTGGCCAAAAATTATGCCAAAAACCTTAAACAAAAATTGAAGTGTGAAGTGTGAATTATTTTGGGGGGTGGCACTGTGGGACTCAACACGCAACATAAGAGACAAGAGCTTTTGTCATATTCAGCCTAAAGTTTTGCTTAATTAGAGGGATTTTTTCTCTAGACTTCAGCATAAATGGAGTTATTATTTAAAAATAAATGAGAAGTGAGAAAGGAGTTTACATATATGCCCTTTGCAGGCAAAAGTACTTTCAACGTTTGAAAAAATTCTCGCAAAACAAATATTTCCTCTGTTCATTGCTTAAGGAATACAAGAACAGTGCCAGGCCGGAGGACACAAAATATTTCCCATGTCCATTTGTGATCAGATCATTTTGTTTGCTTTGTAACACACACAAAAAAAAACCTTAATAAAAACTTAAAACTTTAAAAAAAAAACTCATTTCCTCCTCAGAAGTGCTATTGTTATCATAGCATTAGGTTTCCCAGAACTGTCAAAGCTTTTCTGCAACAGCTTGTTCAAATTCCGATACAAGAACAAAGGGAGAATACAGTGCACTCTTGAAAAATGTATTCCAGTAGGTGCTGCCTGCAGGTGTTTTAGAAGTCTGTACCTCTTTTATGCGAATGGCAAAACTAATGAAAGGCATGCTCCTATGCTTTGCTGAGCTGTCAAAGGAAGTAGCGAGGATGAGGTGGATTGCAGCCTGCTGCGGAAACATGTCAGGATCGCGAGCCCAGGGTGACAGGGTGTCAAAGCTAACTGGGGACAACTTTCCTAGTCACCACTCATTTCCCCCTGAACGATGCTATAGAAGTGGTAAACAGTCGTGTTGTTAAAATACTCCCCTGCACAGATAAATAAGATGCGCTGCTGCTTCCGTTTTTTACAACCTTGCATCTCCATGCTCTTGAATGTGCCAGATTAGGAAAGCAGGAAAGAAAGTTCTCCAATCTTTTACAAAAGCCGAATATTACATAGTAGGTGCCTGATTGTGTTCACTTCTTTGTTTAAATTACATTAGAGGTGTTCTGATTGCTTTGTCAAGCTCTGTCTGACAACATGATAATAAATTTATTCATCCCTTGCAAGTTTCCTGTCAGTGGGTTACACTCATTGTATATAGCATGGCTTTGAAAAAAGAAAAAAAGAACTAATCGTTTGTATACTGCCATCAATGTGCACAGCATTTCATAATGAAACATACGACGACAACATCAACAAACAACCCCCACTTTGAGGAGCTCCCTATCTAATAATTAATACAAGGAGTGGAAACAGAAGGAGGGGAGGAAGATGTGAGTAAGGGAAATGGGGAATTATGCTGAAGAACTAAATAAAAGGTTTAAATTAGGGTGGCTCACCTGGGCTCTCTCTAGCTGTTGTTGGCTTGTGACTCCCAACAGCAAACCCCTCCAGGAAGTATGACCAATTGTCAGGGATGATGGGAGCCACAGGTTTCCCAGCCATGGTTTACAGGGGTCAGCAATTTTTTCAGCAAGGGGCCGGTCCACTGTCCCTCAGACCTTGTGGAGGGCCGGACTATATTGGGGAGGGTTGAACAAATTCCTATGTCCCACAAATAACCCAGAGATGCATTTTAAATAAAAGGACACATTCTACTCACGTAAAAACTCACTGATTCCTGGACCGTCTGCAGGCTGGATTTAGAAGGTGATTGGGCCAGATCCAGCCCCCAGGCCTTAGTTTGCCCACCCATGGTTTAAATCAGGGGTCAGCAAACTTTTTCAGCAGGGGGCCAGTCCCCTGCTCCTAAAACCAGTGTGGTGGTGTGGTTAAGAGTGGTAGACTCGTAATCTGGGGAACCGAGTTCGCGTCTCCGCTCCTCCACATGCAGCTGCTGGGTGACCTTGGGCTAGTCACACTTCTCTGAAGTCTCTCAGCCCCACTCACCTCAGCCCAGAGTGTTTGTTGTGGGGGAGGAAGGGAAAGGAGAAGGTTAGCCGCTTTGAGACTCCTTCGGGTAGTGATAAAGCGGGATATCAAATCCAAACTCCTCCTCCTCCTCCTCTTCTTCTTCTTCAGACCTGGTTTGGGGGCCGGACTATATTTTGAAGGGAAAAAATTAAAGAAATTCCTATGCCCCACAAATAACCCAGAGATGCATTTTAAATAAAATTCTGCTCATGTAAAAACACCAGGCAGGCCCCACAAATAACCCAGAGATGCATTTTAAATAAAAGGACACATTCTGCTCATATAAAAACACACTGATTCCCGGACCATCCGCGGGCCAGATTTAGAAGGCGATTGATCCGGATCCGGCCCCCGGGCCTTAGGTTGCCTACCCGTGGTTTAAATGCTTGTGAAGACCCTTTATTGGGTGGCATCCTCTCCCTCCTCCTGCATCTCTTCTTCACTCTCCAATCCTCAAGCTTCTCCTGCTTCTGTTGTCTCTCGCCCAGTTCACAGATTCCTTCTCCCAAGCCAGTCTCCAACCCCCTTTCTCCCGGTGCCCACTCATCAGAATCCGGCCACAGGATTTTGGGGGGTAACAAAAGTACATACAGCATCTCTGCTTTCAGTTCATAGAGACTTTTTAACAGATCAATGTGAGTCACTAATGTTATGGCCAGTGTCAGGTTGGGGGAGAAGAGTGGTGGAAATTGGAAGAGAGAGAAAACTGTTGGGTGGTTGTAAACTTTCATTCTCTTACATCTGTTTGTGCAAGGTTTTTGTGTCAGCATCGTGTGGGTAGGTTCTTTCTCCATTCATTTACTAGTTTTCATTGGCGGTGAGAGAGATTGGGGGCCCCCAGGGAATGGTTGGTTGCCTTCAGTTGACTGCAGTGAGTATTGTCTACTCCACATCTCTGCAGCAATTTGAAAATTCAAATCATGAAAATTCATCCATATTTTAAGGTCCTAAAAAAACACCTTTTTGTATGCAGCTTTGTATTTTTTGCAAGCAACTTCCCCTAATATAATGCATTTTTTCCACTAACTGTTTAATTTTTATGTGCACCTTCCCCTAATTCTTGTAAACGCTGTTTGCCTGGAAAACTACATCATTTGCAGATTCCAACAGAAGAACTGCATTACAGTTCACATGTTGCTTCAGAAAATGCAGTTTTGGTCAACTGGCCTTTAAGTGTGAACCGAACTGAATTTCCCTGAGATAGTGCCCTAAGACTCTGGTCGTGTCTGGTCCTCATAGCATCATCTGGATTACAGGACAACCTGGCAGCCTAATATTCTTTCTCTCTCTCTTTCAGAAGATAAGGCAAACCTGACAGTGAATGGCTCTAGTCAGCTTCCAAATGCTGAAGTGGCCTCTTTTATACCTGAGCCTGGAGCTACAACAGTGCTTGTCACCTCCGCAGCGGTAGCAACAACATCTACACCCTCATCATCAACTTCTTCCAAGAGCACAAATGGGACTACTAATGCCATTTCTGAATCAGAAGAGGAGAAAGCCAAAAAACTGCTTTACTGCTCATTATGCAAAGTGGCTGTGAACTCCCTATCACAGCTAGAAGCACATAACACAGGTGAGTATCTGCCAGAAATAACTAAAAGCATCATTGAGGGATGGGGAGAGGGCTGAAAGAAGTTAATATAATTGGCATTTAGACATGGTGGTGTATGTAATAATTCTTTGCCTCTCCTTTATTTATTTTTTAAAGGAGAGGGTGTTTTATGTAAAATATACAGTGGCAATTACGGTACTAGATTCCTGTCTGCAGACAACACAGGATGCATAAATCCTGTTCTTTATTAAAGCTCTGAATCATCTGGTTATACGGAAATAGGCATCTACTGCATGCTTAGCGCTGCCATTTCCTGTGAATGCGCTTGTTGCCCAGACTGATGGTTTCGCCCAACTTCCTGGGATCTGTATTTCGCCCTCTTACTCCAGGAAATGCTGTTGCAGAACAAAAAAATCAGAAGGCAGTTTTCACGATTTCACATTTCAAGGAGAACCTTTGAGGGCCACCTCACATGCATATCCTTCAACATTTCTCCAATGAAAATAGGGACGTCCTAATCCATTATTCTTATTACCATTACCATTGTTTTATTTATAGCGCTCCCATCTGACTGGGTTGCCCCAGCCACTCTGGGCAGCTTCCAACCTATATTAAAACATAACAAAACATCAAACATTTAAAAACTTCCCTATGCAGGGCTGCCTTCAGATGTCTTCTAAAGGTTGTAGAGTTGCTTATCTCCTTGGCTCGGGGGTTACATAACTCCATAGCCTCCAACATTTCCCCAATGAAAATAGGGACGTCCTAAGGACGCGGGTGGAGCTGTGGGTTAAACCACAGAGCCTAGGACTTCCCAATCAGAAGGTCGGCGGTTCGAATCCCCGCGACGGGGTGAGCTCCCATTGCTCGGTCCCTGCTCCTGCCAACCTAGCAGTTCGAAAGCACATCAAAATGCAAGTAGATAAATAGGTACCACTCTGGTGGGAAGGTAAATGGCCTTTCCGTGCGCTGCTCTGGTTCGCCAGAAGCGGCTTAGTCATGCTGGCCACATGACCCAGAAGCTGTACGCTGGCTCCCTCAGCCAATAAAGCGAGATGAGCACCCAACCCCAGAGTCAGCCACGACTGGACCTAATGGTCAGGGGTCTCTTTATCTTTAAGGAAAAGCAGAACATTCCGGGATCAAATCAGAAACCGGGATGGCTTCTGTTAAATTCGGGACTGTCCCTGGAAAATAGAAACACTTAGAAGGTCTGGATATGGTAACTGCTGAAAAGGCCTTTCCTGATGTTCTCAGTGACCAGGGTAACACTGGTCAGCTGCTGCTTATTCAGTGTGTCTCTCCATTCCTATGTAGGACCTACACGCCTTTTGTCCTGGTGTAAGGACTATCTAGTGCTGGCACAGGAAGGGCTCTGTAAGAGACATTTTAAAAATAAATAAATAAGGAAGCCTTCAGAAATTCTCCCCATCTGAATTTCTCCAAGGGTTTTGGAGTTCCAAATTAGCCTGGTCTCATTTCCAAAGCCAAACCAATGTAATCACTCATTTTTATTATTTCTTTATTTTATACATGGCACCGTGCATGTTCAGTTTGCCTCAGCTTTCAGTTCCTTTGTGTCTTTCAAGAGCCAGTGTGGTGCAGTGCTCGAGAGGGTCTTACTTTGGACTGTGGAGACTCCGATTCAAATCTTCACCCAACCATGGAGATGGCTGAGCGATGTTGAGTCAGTCACTATCTCTTTGCCTTGCCTAACTGGCAAGTTTGGTGTGAGGACAGAGGGGCCTTGGTGGAAAGGCAGTATATAAATCTAAGAAATAAAGTAATTTTTCCCTCTCTCCAAATTTACCGTGTGCCTTTGCATCACTGGTAGACACAATTGCATCAAGACTCCTTTCTGTGGAGTATTTTCCCTAAGTGAATATTTTGATTATTTGTATTGATAAAATATGGCCAAAAAAGCCCACCATCCAATCGTGATGTGATTGTACAGTGTTTGTATATTCTTGCATGTTTCTCCAAGGGACATGAGCACATGTATGAATGAGTAAAGCACCTCATAAATAATACTGATGTAAGCATATGTCTTAAATCTGCTTCCCCTCCCCAGTGTTTTAACTAGGTATAAGTATGTTATTGTGGCAGAAGCCTTTGTGAGCTAATATCACTCATGCATAAGAAAAAGTAATGCATGAGTGGTATTAAGTAGATGAAATGAACCAAGTAACTGAAAGAATATAGATTTTAAAAACCTACTATTGCTTCTGCGGGAGAATTTAATTATGCCTGTGAATCTCATACCTCAAAGTGTTTTTTTGCCTTTGGTTTTTTTTCTTTAAAAAAAGACTGATAACAAGAAGCCATATTTTCCTTCTGTTTCCCTCATGATGGTAACAAACTGCAGAACAAAAGTCCTGTGTGCCTTTTTTTCATGCAATCTTTACTTATTTTCTGGTGAATAGAAGCTGCTTGCGTAACTTGAAAGTTGTTGGAACCCTAGAAACACCACTGGTGTTTCCCAGACACAGAATTGCTGGTTGAGAGTAAAGTGGACTGCAACAGGAGAATTAATGGCCAGGGAGTGGGTGGGTGGTTTTTTTCCTTGTGCACCAGTTCTCTGCCACACCTCCCCAGAGAAACTTCCTTCCTCCATAGAGCTTATTTCCAGTCATTGAGCCAAATGTGGGGTGAATGGGGGGAAATGGAGATAGCTCAGTTGGTAGAGCATGAGACTATTAATCTCAGGGTCGTGGGTTTCAGCCCCACATTGGGCAAAAGATTCCTGCATTGCAGTGGGTTGGACTTAGATGACCCCATGTCCCTTCCAACCCTACCATTCTATGAATCTATAAAATGGAAGGTCACGGGAGAATTAAATGATGGGAGAAAATGGCCCAGCACCTACACATCTGCCTACTGATTCCCCTTTGCCCCCTACATTAAGCACTTTGAGTCAAACTCAGGAGGACTGGGTTTTCCAACCCTCATGTAGTTCTGTCCTTGGTTTCTGGTTTTCTCATGAAATTCCATTGTTAGGTGAACAAGCTGAAAAGCTTTCACTTCAGCAAAACAGATAGGTGATCTGTTTTGCTGAATTGAAAGCTTTTCAGCTTTCTCGTGCTTTCATTTGTAGCACTGGGTGAACATGATTTTCCAGCACTTCTCCTTTGTGCTGAAATGAAAAACTATTTTTTAAGATGGCAAAAATGACTTACAGATCAAAAGGAAGTAATTTTGTGAGGACAACTCTATTTCCTGGAAAAAAAATATTTTCCTCCACCTATGCCAAGGATTCTAAAGTGGTGGATTCTGGGAGACTCTTTTAAAGGGTCACCAAGATCCATATAGTTGGAACTATGGATTATGTGGCAAAAGAGGATTTTTCTTAATCAGTGCCTGTAATGATAGGTGGTTCCTGAACAATCTCACAGCTCAGCAAAGGGTTTCTCATTGAGAAGCATTTGAAAACTTAACTTCACAGAACAGGGGTGGGAAACACGAGTCTTCTAGATGGACTCCCATCATTCCTTACTGTCAGGGAACTGCCATCGGCTCAGGGGGGAGAGGGGAAAAGCCGGATGGATTACAGAGAGCCCCCAAAGATCGTGGGAAGCAGCTCCTCCTCAGCGGAGGAGAGTAACCACGCCTCCAGTGGAGAGGAGCTTCAGGGCTCGGAGGAGGCGAGGCGGTGCCAGGACACCTTGCCTGGGCAAAGCGGGGAGGAGAGAGGTCCTCCGTTACCCACGCCCTCCTTGCGCAGTAAGCTTTTGTGCCGAGAGGGGAGGCGCAAACTCGGCGTCAAGAAACTGCTTTGCTGGGGAAAGTTTAAGGACCGCCCACTCACGAATTCTGCCAGTGAATGAGCCAGCCACAGGAGAGTGGCACTCTGCATAGAGAAAATTTATTTTGGCATCAAAAGCAAGGCTTCACAGCCGAGCAGGGAGGCATTTGCCTGCTTGCTCTGGAGCAACCCCTTGGAGCCCTAACATTTACCATTGGCCATTTTGACCTGGGCTGATAGGAGCCCAGCATCAACGCAAGTTCCCTACACATGGCGAACAAAAAGGCTTAGTATATTGTTTGGAAGATTGCAATGGCCAAAAATATAACTGGTAAATCTGGTGCCATGAAGGCAAAGAAGCAGTTGAACTTCTCTATTCTACCTGGTAGATCTTGATTTCTTACATTTCAGAAAACAACCTACACGATTCCTTATGCAAGCCAAGGAGAGAAATATGGACTTCTTGATTAAAAGGATGGATTAAATACATAAATGCAGTTATACTTACTTGTATATAATCTAGTCATCTCCGTATTGGCTTTCCATGTTGACGTGTTATGTTTTCGTTGTTTTAGTCTCTCCTGAGTTTGGGGGTGGGGTGTTGTTTTGTTACTGCTTGTAAGAAGATATTGTTCACTTTCAAAAACCCAAGGAAAAAGAAGGAAAAAATGCCTTTGGGCAGGTACCAAAAAAAGCAAAGCCCTTCCTTCATATTTACCCTATGTGTAAATATGGAAAGTGATGAAAATGGTATTATGGCTGAAAATGTTTAGTTGGTCATTTAAGGGAGAAACAATCTCTGATGCTTTTGCAATGTGGCTCATCAGGTTCCAAGCACAAGACAATGGTTGAGGCTCGGAATGGAGCCGGTCCAATCAAGTCTTACCCTAGACCAGGATCCAGGCTGAAGGCTCAGAATGTCACTATGGGCTCAGGACTGCAGAACAAAACATTTCATTGTGAGATCTGTGACGTCCATGTCAACTCAGAAATCCAACTTAAGCAGGTATGGCGACATCATCAGGAATCGCTGGGTTTGCATAGCGCATGCCACATTCATAGATCACGGGAGTCCTTTGTTTCGTATCACACGCTCGTCGGATTAAATGGCTAATTTTAATTTGGCAGACCAAATTCCACATGTTAGCAAAGGAATCCAGCTGCCTTGTACAAAAATATGGTACCAGATTCTGAATCTCAGGTTTTGCTTTTAAATTGCCAGATATATAAACCTCATAGGTGCTCAAGAACAAGTCTGAAAATATTTAGGCAGGATTTGCTTATGGCTGAGACCCGCTTCCTCTGCTGATGAGAACAGCTTGTGTACGGGCCAGAATGATTCCAGTCAGCCGCTGTGTGCTGGCATGGTACTGGCTGCAGCACTTGCAGCCTCCCAGTGCTTAAATATATAGGGATGAGAATTCCCTTCTTTCCTGGATCATCACCATCCATCTGCTGCTGGCAATTTCACATGGTAAGACCAGTGCTGTCATCCAGCACCTTCTCCTCTTTTTTGATGCACAATCTATTGCTTTGATTTTATTGTCTCCTAATGAAAATCTGAGTATACACAGATTTTAAGTAATAAGTTTGGGAGTTGTTGTTTTTTAATGTACCTGATTTGTACAATCATAATATCTAAATGTTCCGGTTGCATGGTTTTACAGGGGTTTTACTACTGAAATCTAAATCTTCTGCTGGAGCTCTATGCAGTTTATTTTCTTGGAGTAAGTTCACAGATTCGCACAATAACTGCAGCAGGTGATATACAGTGTTAGTCAAACCCGAGTGAAATCATTGGACTCGTGTAACTGAAGTCCCCTGATTCCTTTGAGTTTACTCCAATTATGGCTAACATTAGATATCATCCGGTATTAGGTAATGACTTTTAAACTGAACATTTTTTGTTTTGTTTTACATTTCCAGCACATTTCCAGCAGAAGACACAAGGACAGAGTTGCAGGGAAGCCTACAAAACCGAAATATAGCCCTTATAACAAACTACAACGAAGTCCAAGTATTCTAGCAGTAAGTGTTGCCTGAGCGTAGCAGTATATTTTTCCGTAACTGGAGGATTCCAAGTGCATTCAAGTTTAGGTGTATGTCAAATGTGAATCTGCCAGTCCACACACAAAGGAAGTTAGCTGCTGCTGGAGGGGAGGAATAAACCATCTGAAATGGAACGAGTAGCGTGTCTTATTTTTCTTTTTAGAAATGCACTCCATCTCTTTTAAAGGCCAAAGCAGTGCAGGTTAGGGGAATACATTTCTGCCTTTAAGCAAGCCTTTTTGCAATGTCCCGTTCTTCTCATGGTTCCAACTGAAGGCAACAGCAGGCAATGCTTAAATTGAACCCTAGAGGGCGGAACAGACTCCACTGCATTTCTCTTGATTGTTTCTCACCTTCCTCTTGCCCATTCCAGCGGCAGCTATTAAAAATACTGTGGTGCTACGGAATAGTTCCAAGTCCTCAAAAAAGCAGAGCTTATCTTGCAATGTAGAAATCCTTCCCCGCATAATTTCTCTTTCGTGGGCACTCATGTCCAGGATGCAGTGTTGGAAGATTCTGTGACCATCTCTGTGTTAGGGAAGATATCTAGAAGAAGCTCTCAAGGGCTGCCAGCCATGATGGCTATGCTCTGCCTTAAGGGTCGGATGCAGTGATGCTTCTAGATACCAGTTGCTGGAAAGCACAGGGAGAGTTTGCTTGGGTCTTGCGTGGCCAGGAGGCTGGAGCAGTTGGGCCATTTCCCTGATCCGGTAGACTCTTCTTATGTTCTTACGATGGGTGTGAGCCTCCTACAGAAAGAGGCTCCCCACTGAAGTCGGCCACCATTATTTTTAATGAACCTGGAGTGTATCCACGGTGCGCTGCAAGCCAAGGATGCCTAAGGAACATATATTCTCAGTTTTAAAGTGCAGCACATTCCAAATGACCTTTAGAAGCAAGCAAACAAACAAACAAACACTAATATCCTTGCATAATTATAAAGAATAAAATTAAAATGCTTCAGGCTATATCCACTTATTAGTTTCACGGTAGGGGAACTGAAGCAGGTGCGTGCTGGAGCACAAGACCCAGTTAAGTGTTTAATTTGTATCTGTAAGCAGGCAGTGAGTGGGTTTGGGCAGCTCTGAGGACCAACTTCATACATTGCTGCTTGTACAATGTTTTCAGGACTTTTGACCACCACTGTTGTCTCTGAAAGTATAGTCAGGGTCCATGAAGCTGACTACCTCAAGAGGTGCTATCAGGCGACTCTGCATACACGTCTTTCTCAGTTAATAAAGTGCATTAACCACTTTGTGCATGCTAATTTTAGCTGTATCAGGGACTGTCGGGGGGAAATCACCTGCTGACTCCTATCCACAAATAGAAGCGAAAACCAAGAAAATTAACCAGTAATGGTAGGCTGTCAGTGCCCTTTAGAAAAATAATCACATTAACCTTGGCAAGAAACATTTTAGTGGGTCAATTCTGCTAATCCATATAATGCGCAGCGATATTGACATTCGGTAGAAGGTTAACCTTAATGCAAATAGCTAATTGCAGTCTGCTTTACAGTGTTATGGCATCACTTAGATGTTTTTAACCTCCTAGGCAAAAAATTTAAAAAAGGAGGAGGTGGAATTTTAAAGCACTTATTCGTTTGCTTAGGTATTTATACCCCACTTTTCCAGGCAAAATCCTCCAGAAAACAGCTTACAACATAGTCAGTGCAGCACAATGTAATTATGTGTGTGTGTGTGTGTGTAAAGAACCTGTTAAAAATAACATTAACATATGCAAACCCAATAAAGACAAAACACTGAACAAATAGTAATGTTTAAAGCATGTATAAGCATTAGCAATTGAAACAGAAAAAAGTCAGTAAAGTAACTGAAGAAAAGGAAGGTCCAAATGTACATCCCATAGTAGGGAGTTCAGCAGTGATGGGGTCACTATGGAAAAGGCCCTGCTGTCTCTCGTACTTACTAATGTAGCTGAGCTTGTAAGGAGGGCAAGGGAACCCCTTGGTTGTCACAAGCTGCTGAACTGGAACTTACAAACCATCTTCAAAGGGTGCTCCACATTTGGTGCACTGCACTCGTCTAGTCTGCATGTAAGCAGGTAACAAGTAACCATGGCAAGGTCTGCTTTTCTTTCCTAGGTAGGGGCAGAACAGGTAAACCAGCCCAAGCTGATAAAAGGCCCTCATTGCTGCTGGTCTTCCCTGTGGAGGTTGGGGGCATTTATTTGTTTTGGTCCCCTCCCCCATTTTATATTGTGAACTGCCCTAAAATCTTCGCATAAAGGGCGATTTAAAAATTTAAATAATAATAATAATAATAATAATAATAATAATAATAATAATAAGTGTTTTTTTCAGCTGGAGCACGCCAGAGCACAGTTTGGGCACCTCTCCCCTCCTGCTTCTTGCGTTTACATACTTCTGAGAAGCCCGACACAAACATTTCATGTCAAAACAGAAGCTGGCCTGCGTATGCGAGTCTACACTTTTTTTTTAGATCTATGACTCCACGTAGCTCCTAGCTGCTCCTTGCTATACTTGGTCAAGCTATAGGGCGGCACCAATTTGCATTTCTTTTTCATCAATCTGACTCCTGTGTAGCGGTGGCGGGCTTTAAGCTTTCCAACCAGACCTCTGCCATTGCATGTGTGTGCATTTGTGCAAGGGCCCTTCCTAGCTGCCCTAGCCAACTGCCTGAATCTAAGAGAACAAGGGAGGTTCTCTTTTATTAGACCTGCACCAGAACCAGGGGTGACCCCCCAAACCAGCTAGGGAGACTGCTTGCCATAGTTTTTAGCACGTCCGCAGGTGGTGAACGTGGCTGTTGTCAAACCTGTTCAAGGCTGCCTCGAGTCTCCCAGAGATTGACTGTAACAACTTCTTGTTGAGTTCTGGCACTTACTGTTCTTGAAAAAACAACACCGGTTATTGTTGTTGTTGTTGTTGTTGTGTGGATTCCCCCCTCCTTTTTGGTGGGTCTCATAAATGGGTGAAATTACCATTTAATGTTTTTTCGCCCCTTCTTCCTGTAGGCAAAACTTGCATTCCAGAAAGATATGATTAAGCCATTGGCCCCTGCGTTCCTTTCGTCTCCTCTTGCTGCTGCCGCTGCTGCGGCAGTATCTACTGCTTTGACTCTTCCTCCACGTCCTTCAGCGGCTTTGTTCCAGACACCTGCAATACCCACGGCTCTCCTAAGGGCAGGGCACGGCCCCATCCGAGCTACTCCCACATCTATCCTGTTTGCACCCTACTGATGATTGAATCAACAGCATCTCATTGCTAAGGCCATTTGGAAGAGAGACCGGAGGAAGCAAATAAAGATTCTGTATTTTTCCAGTGACTGCGTTTTTAAGGCACTAACGCTTGAAAGCGGGTCGTGGGACTCTGCATCGACGGGTATTGCAATCTAGACAACAGAGGCTTGTTGTTGTTTCGGAGTTGGTTTCGTTTGGTTGTTTCAACGAACACAACTTGGATCGATGGTTTACGAAACGTTTAATTGTGCACAAAATATAGCGAGGGTTCATCTGCTTTTTAACTTAGACACACATGACATGCGTTAAAAAAACAACAAAGAACATGGGATATTTTCCTGTCTGACTTGAAAACTAGGATCTTCCTCCCTCACTGCAGCAAAAACTAGGTGAAACAAATGCTTGAATTGCTGACGACAGCTCGAGAACAGATTGCAACTTATTTCCTATGTGCTCCTGTTGCTAGGGATTGTGTGTTGTTTTGGGGCTCCGTGCTAGTGTACTTTGTGTAGTACCCGAGTTTTACCTCTCCTTCAATTTTAAAGCATTTTAGTTGCCGTGTAAATGTTTGGAAGCAGAGCAGCCCTGGAGCTTTTTCTTTTAAAGAATTTAATGTATGTCTTTAATTTAACATTTTATTTAGAGAGATCCAGAATAAGAAAGCCATATATGAGATCGTTAAGATTGTGACTCATTTACTATTTTCATTTAACTTATTTTGCTTTGGTTCCCACACCCCTCCCACTGGTGTTGCTAAACAACCGTTTCAAAAGAGAGTTTCCTAATTTATATGTTTACCACATTTCGCGCTTGTTGAGGCAGCGGACCAGTGTATTTATTCATAAATATATTTGCCATTTCTAAACTTCTTTCCTATATGATGACGCTACATAGAGTTGTGGCTCCCAATGCAATAATGTACAGAAAATAAGATATTTATAAAATTAAGTGTCTCTTCTCTTAATATATTGCTGTTCCGGCCCTTTTCTTCCCTTGGGTTCCCCCACTTCATTTTATAAAGGTGATCCGGATACCGAAGACACACCAGGTGTCGTTTGGGACAACAAGGATAATCTCCAAAAACATCTTTACCTGCAGTCTGTAAAGAGTAAAATATATGTGTATTTTTTAAAGAAGGCACGTTTTTAATAAAACAACATGGAAAAATAGCAAACTGTTTATTAATGAGCAAAAGAATTCGCGTGGAACCTTTAAATGAGACCTCTGTTTGAAAACAGCATCATTATGGCACAGCACACTAGGAAGTTACCAAACGGCGGCACAGTCACTTGATTACACCGTCATTGTTAATGAATGACTGAAATTATGAATACATGGATATAATGTACTTTGCATATCACTGTGGAATGCTTAATGTCTTGCTGTGCTGTGTTTTTAATTCGGTGAAAGCAATAATGGAAAACCGTATGAGATACACCTACCTAAGGCTGCGGTTCTCTGGTCCTTGGGAGGGCATTCCAGGAGCCCATAGGACAGGATCGGGTCTCCCTCCCTGACGTTGGAGAAGAAGATCCAATGTCAGGTCCTCCCTGCCACCACTGGATCATTCAACTGGAGTACCAACATCAGTATGGGGAAAAGAGCTGTGTTGGGGGAGCAAGCAGGGTTAAAAATGCATACGTGTTGAGAGTCACCTCTAATTTTCTCCCTCCCTTTTTCTTCCCACTGTTTCCAACGGGAGGGCAAAGTTTTTTAGAAGATGGTGATGATGATCTAAGAACCTGGAAATGGATGGAACAATGCAGAGCATTCTCTTCGCTGCACTCGAGCTTGGCATGGCATAAGACAGGCATAGGCAAACTCCGGCCCTCCAGATGTTTGGGACTACAATTCCCATCATCCCTGACCACTGGTCCTGTTAGCTAGGGATGATGGGAATTGTAGTCCCAAACATCTGGAGGGCTGGAGTTTGCCTGTGCCTGGCATAGGATAAGGTGGTTGAAGCACCTTTGGATTCCTTGCTAAAGTGAGCGATGCCCTGAGCACACATCCCTGCACAAAACACTTCCGAAATGAACTCCAGCAGTCTGGTGCCATTATAGTTCAAGTAGAGCTGTCTTTTTGATACATGGCTCATTGGCCCAGAAACATTCCCCATATGGTATCGTTGAATCACACTGCTTAATTTGTAGCATAGTAGTGCCACTAAAAAACAACAACAACCTGGAATTAATTTTGGATAGCCAGGTGAAGTTAGTGAACCTTGGGATGAATGGCCTGTGTTGTACACCCGCATATGTTTGGAAATTTCTAAATCACATTTGCTGCTGGGATTTTAGAAGGGACTGTACCTTAGCTACAACATGTGGTCCATAAGAGTTTGAAGGCTGGTGTGTGTAGAAAATGCGTGAAAGGATGTGGGGTTATTTCCGCTCAAGCAGGGGGAGCTGTTTTGGCATTATACGTTTTAAAACACTGGATGGAAACTTTTGCCTAATGAAGTTTTGGAGCAAGATGATCTGCAACTGGTAAATGCCCATGTTTTAGTTGCTTCAAAAAGATATTCTGCTGTGGGTTAATGGACAATGCATATTAGCCATTTGGAAAAAGAGATCCATTATCAACAATGGGTGGGCTGACATTTGTTTATTTGCACAAACTATCTGGTGCCCATAATTTCTTACTAGTCCTTTTCAACAGGAAGTAGCCACATTTTAGAGGGAGATCTCAGCATGGTTTCAAGGTGAAAAAAGAAGCCTGGGACCTTAGGGTGAAGGGCAGGTAATTAATAATGATAATAAATTATTATTTATCCCAAATTTTTGTTAGGACAAGGGTTGCAGGTGTTTAGCCTGAAAACAGCATGGAGAGAACCAGAACATAAACTCTAATATATTACATTGGCCCATCTCTGACCATTGTTCGAAACTTCCATTGTTCTAGGCGCATTTTGTGACAGGGAATTTCATTAGCATGAGTACTTTCTGAGTTCTGAGCTCAGTACTGTGCCTGAGAATTCAGATTAAAACTGCAGAGTGGAGGGAAAGGAGGACCTTTTTCTGCCATCCCACTTCCAGCTACTCTGAAGACTGGAGAATATTAGGAGAGTGGCCAGGGGAAGGACTAGACCATGTGAAAAATGAGCATAATAATTTAGCTGCAGTTCATTTTCACCTTGATATTCTTGTTATTTAAAATACGAACCTAGACATTCCATTGTTGCGCCCATAACCTAGGTTTAAGGTGCCTTTTAGCTCCTAGCTATCATATCTCAGTTTCTAACACTATCTCTGACCCAGGAGGCTCATTGAAGAAGAATGTACTTCTGGTGCTGTGTAAAGTCTCAAAATAATAATTGGTCTCCCTTTGCACTTTAGAGAGTTTTAAGAAAATGCCTCGTGTCAAGTGTCATTCCCCAAAGTACACTTGAAATTTTAGCCACGTTGCCCACCCGCTGCGGCTTCAGAAGCATGCACAGCAGTTCCGGAACCTTCCGAAGGGTTTCAGATTCAACTGCATTCAAAAGATTCAGAATTACATTCAGCTTCTTGAGCATCTCTGCAAAATGACTAGCCTTTCTTTCAGGAAATTTGGGAATACACAGGGTAATTGTGATTTGATAATTGAAAAATTCAACATGATGTGAAGTAGCGGAGTAGCTTAGAGCCAAAAAGGCTAATAACTCTTCTGGGTAACTGAATAGATTCTTTTAATAAATATCAAAATGAAGAACATGTTTACATGCTCATGTTCATACGAACATGGGTCCAATCTCACTTAGTTTCCACTTCACTCTTTACCTCAGCAAAGAGTTGTTTCTTTATTCTTTATAAAGAAATCTCCTGGACAGAATTCTCCCTATTTGCATTATAGGGATCACCCTCTGTCTGACTTATTACAGAAATACAACTGTCTTTTACGGTGTCCTGTATTCTCCTCACAGACACACCACGGAGATGCAGTAACAGCTGGACATACAAACTCACTAACTGTCAAAAAATACCTCACAATCACATGAGAGGTGTTCCTTAAAGAAACCCCTCCCCCTTTTAAAATACATACAGCTACACAAATAAATATTCCCATTTCAGGAAAATTAAACATCTAATATCCTTAACAGTAATGGCTTCTGTAATCCTCATAGAACTCTAGCCCAATGGTTGCCATTAATTTGACTCTGAATTGATTTTAGAATGAATTGATTTTAGAATGAATTGATTTTAGAATGTATTATTATTATTATTATTATTATTATTATTATTATTATTATTATCCCAGAAACTGCTATAGCGTTCTGTGACCCACCCTGTCTTTTCTGTGAACTGCCCTGAGACCTCCAGGTATAGGGCAGTACGTTAATAATAATAATGATGATGATGATGATGATGATGATGATGTGACCCTGGTGGCTTGAATTTTGCCTCACCTTTGCTTCTGACACTTTTAGGGCAAATGATGTATGGTGCTGAGAAGTATTGCAAAGAAAGTTGCCCTTTTACAAATCTTGGGTCAAGTCACCTGAAAATAAGGCTTTGACCTTTTTTGTTTTGTCTGCTTTATGACAGAGCCGTTAATATTATTGAATGAATTTGTTTTTATGGAATCTGTAATTTTTGATTCTGAACTTTGTTCTCCCCCCCCCCCCATATATTTTAAATTCTTTTTTTATTATTTCATGGTCCCCTACTCTGGGAATGAAATAGTCAGTGGGTGGTGGGTGGTTGTTATCGTTCTCTCTCTCTCTCTCTCTCTCTCTCTGTGTGTGTGTGTGTGTGTGTGTGTGTACGCACTTGTGTGTTTGTATTGCTTCGTTCCAGAGACGCCATCTTCGCAAGCTGATTGAGGGGGCCCAACACAACGCCCAGAGGTCACATTTGTGATGTCTCAGGGAGCCAGGGGTCAGAGCTGAACACCCTCTGAACATTGAGGGGGTCCAGACCCCTAAAAATATATGGGGGAGAGGGAGAAACTGCCTCAGGTCCTAGAAGTTGGCGTGCATGCTTCGTTTTATATTTAAGAAGCAATTAAGCAAACAAGCACACATATACACAGAGAGAGAAATCTACAGGAAATTTACCTTTGACTTTCAGAGGTGAAAAGTTGTTCCTCAATGAATTATTCACAGGGAGAAAGAAGACTGGAGGCAAGCAATGCCATGTCTCTGTAGCACAAGTTCAGATTTCATTAGCTAACTTCTTTTCACCTGTGACAGTCCCCAGTCTGTAAATCTCCATGCCTGATGTAAATAGGATGCCATTATGCTCCACTCCCCTTGCTTGTCTTCACGCTATGGAGGAGGGGAAAACAGACTTCCTTGCTTCCTTCCTTCCCTTCTTTCCCTTCTTTCTTTCATTTAATCTTTCTGACAAACTGAGCCTCTGAACTGCCAGCTTTGGCATTAGAATCATAAATCAACTTCAGCAATTACTCCCTGAAAATGATTTAATGCAAGCTGTACAAAACTGATTAATGATACTTACGACCCAGAATGTGTGTGGGGCTTGGGGGGGGAGGCGTGTTAACACAGTGCATTGAGCGATATGTAATCTTCAAAAAGTTGATGGCAAATCAAATCCTTCCTAATGAGTGCCTGAAAATGAATTTTGACAACAACAACAAAACTTCCCTTGTCCCATTCCTCTTACAGTATTATTATCATCAGTCTGCTTTTATATTCTCCACAACTGAACAGATTCCTATTGCAGGTAAAGAATAACATGGCTGAGTGAGTCCTTGCAGATGAGGCTAACCCAAAATGGAGGCAGAACATCGCCATTACGGCTCGGAGCCTTTGATACCCTTTGTTGTTGTTTAGTCGTTTAGCCATGTCCGACTCTTTGTGACCCCATGGACCAGAGCACGCCAGGCACTCCTGTCTTCCACTGCCTCCCGCAGTTTGGTCAAACTCATGCTGGTAGCTTTGAGAACACTGTCCAACCATCTCGTCCTCTGTCGTCCCCTTCTCCTTGTGCCCTCCATCTTTCTCAACATCAGGGTCTTTTCCAGGGAGCCTTCTTTTCTCATGAGGTGGCCAAAGTATTGGAGCCTCAGCTTCAGGATCTGTCCTTCCAGTGAGCACTCAGGGCTGATTTCCTAAAGAATGGATAGGTTTGGTCGAGTTCTCTTTTGCAGCCATCCAAGTTAGTGGCCAGCACCGTCCTTCCTTGTTGAGGCAGAGAAGTGGTGGTTTAGTGTATGGCTGGCAAAC